TAGCAATGTCAGCAGATTTATTCATTCTATGTGATGATTGATAGATTCCATTGGATTATCACTTATAAACTATGACTGCGATATGGAATGATTTCTATCGTAATTTCACATACTTAGTACTTGATAATACTTTGCTTCGAACGTGGTTAGCGATAGGTAATAAGTATATGAATATTGTCTGATATATTTCATGGTGAAAAACTGTTGATAGGTCATGGGTGGGAACAGACATCTAGAAACTAATGGAAAATCATATAAGTTTGCACTATGAGAAAATCCAGTAAAATATACCTGTTTTCATGAAGAATATTGCTCACTAAAAGATATATTTTATAAGATAGGCATGTATATTTTATTGAAGTTGCTTTTAACGATTTTTGACGTTTGTTGATATGTCGCGTGTAAACAGACATGTAGAAACTATTGGATTGTCATTTAACTTTGCAGTACAGGAAAACATATATATCTCATTGGAATAGCTTCCTTTGATTTTTGAGGTATAAAGATTGTAAACAGAGTCTAGGAGGGAATAAACACTATCATTTTCTTTATCCTACCGATTCGATTGTGATGGTGTGAATTCTACTCCAACAGTTTCATGGAGATTGACGCGCCCTTCTTAACAAACCATCCTGTAGGAAGCTTAATAAGTATTGCGAATTGCGTTATTCGATTTGTTGGATCGTATCGTTGGAAGGAGATTCTTAAATTCCCGTGGATTTCGCGTAAGTGCCTCTGCTTACGGGTCCACCCCACCGTTTTTGGCCCTTCATACAGCGATATTGTGAATTCAGATCGGTAGCTCAAATTGATCTTGCTATTAAGTGGAGCTGCATACAAGACAAGATCTTCGAAGGGATGGTGGCTACCTTACATACATACATACATACATACATAAAGATTGTAAACAGATCTATCCCAATCATTAGATAGTCATATAGATTTGCCTTTTAATAAATCCAACAGCAAACATTTGTTTGGCATGGTTTTCTGGGATGAATATCGCTCCCATTAAAATACATCTTACATGATTGTTCTTTATAAATTATTGAAAGAATTTTCAACGATGTTATCGTACACTCATTAAAATGATTAGTTGAACTAAATATTACTAACAACAATGAGACTGTATTGAATAATCTTTGTTTGTTATTGTTTCATAAGATAAGGGGTTCCGGAAAAGAATGTATTGAGATTGAAAAAAAAAATGATTCTACTGCAATATTTAATTAGCTAAGATTCTAATTGTAAATCTTCACACTCGAGTGTCATGAACGAGTTCCATGAACTCATATAATGTAGTCGTTGTTTTATTGCACACAGGAGCATTAAGAAAGATTTGAATACACGACACCACCGAAACGGAGCATAAATTTGTCAGTGTTATTTTCCTTCACTCTAGCAAAACGAGCATAACGTTGCACTACATTCCATGTCGGGAGAGCTGTTCTTACTTCATGCTAATTGAACGAGCTCAATCTTAAAGTCAGCCGTGGCCCAATGGAATCGAGCACAGACACCGAAAGCATCACACCTCAACAGTTCTGGATCGAATCCCAAATCAGCTACAATAAAAAAAAAAGACACAACTGTTAAAGCTCCCACTCCCTGATGTTTATTTTTCGATTTATTTTTAGAAATCGTTTAAATATATGTGTCAAAAGAAACAGTAAGTTTCATGTGATTTTCACATAAACTTTACTTCGATTGATTTATGACACATATATTATATTGTGATGAAAAGTAAAGCTTATGCTTATGGGTTTCAAATCCATTTCAGTTAATTATTATAATATGACCGATTTTCATTTATCATATGACGATCATATAAATGTTACCAAATTATGAGCATTGTAAATGTATCGGATATTCATATAGAATTTACCTGACACATTTTCAATCATATCATTTTCAATGGATTATCTTATAGCGCAAATTTATTAGACTTCCACATAACAGGAATATGTCAAATTGGTTCAGTGTAGGGGCACGCAATAACCTTTAAAGGCCCAAACGCAATGACAGCGGAAGCGGAACGGCAGCGGCAACGGAAAAGCCCGATCTGAGTAAGCCGACAAGTAGTTAGAATCAAATCGACTTCGGTTAGGCATCTTGATGTCATTTGTGACAACTGTCAAACTTTCCGTTTCCGTTCCGCTTCCGTCCACATTGCGTTTGGACCTTAACTCCAACGCAGGCAACGGCTGTAATTAAATTAATTCCATTAACTACTGCTTTAATTACATTAATTACACAATATAGAACGTTAACTACTTTTAACTTCATTAATTACAGTTTAAAAAATCGTAATTAAAGTACATTCAACGTCAACGCACCGGTTCTTTGTATTGCGTGCCCCTCGAATGCAATCAAAAGTACTTAAAGTAATTAATGCGTTTTGAAATAGTACTGACGGTAATTAAAATTATCTATCCGTAATTAATGTAATTAAAAGTATTAAACATTTAATGAATGTACTTAAATTACGAAATTTCGACTGTAATTAATTTTTTAACTCAATTAATTACAGTCGAAATTTCGTAATTTAAGTACATTCATTAAATGTTTAATACTTTTAATTACATTAATTGGTTAATGTTCTACATTGTGTAATAAATGTAGTTATAGCAGTAGTTAATGGAATTAATTTAATTACTGCCCTTGCCTGCGTTGGAGTTAAACGTTATTACGTGCCCCTAGGAAAATTCACGACCCCTCATTTTATCTGTCAAACTTCCATAGCAAATCAAAACAAACATAGTGTAGTACTAGAATTTTGACTACATAGAGGTAGCTCTAAGACAAGAAGGTCCCGAAGAAACGTGCTCAACTTTTTGGCTCAGCTCTGGTACTCTCTTCGGTCTCAAGCTAATCGATGCACCCCTCGAAACATAGGAAAATGCACGAACCCCTCATTTTATCTGTCAAAATTTCATAGCGAATCAAAGCAACCAGCGCTGCCATTTATACAGATTTATCTGTATTATACAGATTTTTTAATCTTAATACAGACCCGATACAGAATACAGATTTATCACAGATTTTTAAATTACAATACAGATTTATACAGATTTTTATAAAATGCTTGAGAAAAAAAATCTATATCAAAATAAGTTATCAAGCAGTTCTCACTAATATCAATATATCAGTGCCAACATTTCAAAGGGGCGTAATTGTATTTGTAAACAATGTCTTTAGCCGTCAATTTCTCGCGAATAAAAGCTCACTCATGAAAAATAATGACACCAATAGGTAGAGGAATGTTTCCTCTACCATCTAGCATTGTTATTTTGAAGGAGTGAGCTTTAAGGTGCGAGAAATCGACAGCTAAAGCCATTGTTTACAAAAGCAATTACGCCCCTTTGAAATGTTGGCACTGATATGTAATAATTTTGATATTCTTCGCATATCTTTTAGCTCTCATTTTTGTTCTGTTAGCCATCAACTCCATCAAAATGAAATCAATTTGAGTTATCAGGAATAATGAAAACAACATAATTCTTGTTTTCATTTTGTTCTCACCCTCTGCTCGGGAACCTATCAAATTTCCATCGACAATTAATCATGTTATGGTGTTTTTGACAGCATTCACAATCAGAGGACCAACCGCTTTCGGATGCATATGGAGCTGGTAGTAAACGATTTGAGATTGTATGGGGATTTACAGTATTAATTGAATATTTCCAATATAAGCATGTATGTTAAATACAAAAAAAGTGCCCGAGCACATTAAAATGGTGCAAATAAAAGTACTCGTAAACATTTTACTTGCATTGAAAATGTATTTCGTAAGAAATTGCGGATGTTCTGATATTCTTCATACTGCAAAAATGATTTTACCAGCACTGGCGGGGCGACATCTCTCGACTTTTCGGTGTAACTACCACACAAATGATGTAATTAATTGTATTCATCTATATTAAAAATATCAAATAGTAATGAACTCGTGCACTTTTTTGCATTTAAAACTGCTTATCAGGAAGATAATGAATAGAAACTAAAATCTCCATACATTTTCAAACGGCTTCATATCACTCTTATAAATAAGTACGGACGATATCACAAATGGCGCAATTATATTCCGTATGGTTAGTACGATAGCCCGAATAGGTGGTTAAGCAATTTTTATGGTTATTTTGTATGCACTGTATTTGTAAAACAACAAAACATGATTAATTAAGAAAAAAATCGTCAATACAGAAAATACAGATTTTTTAATAGAGTGGATACAGATTTTTTATAAAACCACCTGGCAGCTCTGAGCAACAATCAATACGAAACTAACGATTTTAAATTGGCTCACCACTTTAGTAGCCTATTGGTCCCAAGCAAACGATTAACGAACCCTATTCTAGTTGAAATTCTATTACTACACTATGTTTGTTTTGATTCGCTATGAAAGTTTGACAGATAACATCAGGGGTGTGTGGATTCATGCAGAACATGCAGGGAGTGAAATAGCTTGGGACTGCTTGGGACCGTTGTTCTGGTACTGAGTGAGCCAAAAATAATAATGATTTTCTTCGGGACCCAGTGGTCTTAGAGTTACCTCTATGATCATAGTGTAGTACTAAAAATTTGACTAAAATGGGGTACGTTAATCGATTTGCTTGGGAGCAATAGGCTAGTCAAGTAGTGGAGCCAATATAAAATCGTTAGTTTCCACCGGTTGGTAATACGCCAAGTGGTCCCGGGAGAATAGGGCAAAGCGTCCAAGGAGGTTTTAGTGCGGTAAGAATCCCACACACCGTGTCACCGCAACCGTGCGCCCGGTCAGCCAACAAGCAAGCGGTGACATGACGCCCTTTTTGAAGGTTTCCTCCTTGCCCAAAAAAAAACCAGCACACACACTCCAACAATAACACGAAACGATAAAACATTTTGCATATAATTTAAATTATAGATAATTCAAAACCGTCGGGTAGGTGTTTTTGGGGATATTTTTTTTTATTTGAGAATGGAGTTATCTTCAAGATCAAAGAACGGGCCAACCCATAAAGTTGTAATAATTTAAGAGCATCGTTTATTGGGTTGCATTGACTTGTAGTGAAATTAATAATTATAACCAATTAACTTACGAAATTATTTGCACTATTTTCAAATAGTCTGCGAAAATTTGTTAACTATATACTACTGAATAACGACTCAACCGGTTCATGCATTTGATTTCTGTTTTTGTTCCTGTTGCTCGGTAAACATTTTTGGTTTTTATTTTTGCGTACCTTGTACTCTTAAGTCTAACACTTTTGAACACTATTGTTTTACCTTGTCAGAGAACAAAAAAACATTGTTAGAAATCGGTTGAAAAATGTCAAAGAGAGAAAATGTTTGATTCAGTTTTTGATGCTAATAGACGTATGTTCCTCCTACTAATGCTACGAGTGGAAAAGTTTTATTGTTTGCTGTCATACCAACTGTTCGCCCCTCTTACTTCTCTACTGTCTTTTGAGTGTTCCAGTTAGGGCATTATAGTTTCGTACACATGTTTTATTCAGTTCACTACGGGAATGAAAATGACTATCTTTTAACTTATTCTTTAGTTAAGTAGATTTAACTGTAGATTTTTGTGACCGTTTCATTTTTGAGTTGTATTATGCCTACGATGTTTATTTTCTTATTTAGTTTCTTTCACTCAAAACTATTTGTGTGATATGTGAATTAAAATGTGTCTCTTATTGCTTCGATTTTGTAGTTTGGTTTATACTATATTGCTTGGTATGATTCTAAATCGACAAAAAATCTCATGTGTAGAGTTGAAAGATTGTATTAGTAGGTGAAGCATCGGTAAGAACTTTACCCTAAATTTGCATACCTAAAGGATGCGAAAATTGTGTTTCACTAGTACGGTAAACACCCAATTTGAAGCAAATTTTACTGCTCAAGCTTGAAGAAAACAAACCAGTTGGAACTAAAAACTCAATCTAACTAATAAAATCGCGTATTGTTTCAATCTCTCTCAAACTGTCCTACCGCTTATTTTACAAAGGCATCCATTCGCATTGACTATTCATTAAAGCTTTGAAATGTTTGTTGAAAGTTTTGCGCCGAAAATCTAATGTATGTCACGCCACTGACGTTTGGTTAATAATCTTAAAAACTTTGTTAATAAATTTAATATTTTAAAACCACAACATGCTTAAAATCGTTGCTCGAGTCTAACTATCGTAACGATAATTGAATTCCTGTTCCATATGTGGTTCAAAGATCAACCATAACAACAATGTTTTTACGCAATTAATTTCAACTTTATCACAAAATCTATCGCATTTGGTTGATGACCTGGACAAAATCTTCGACTTCTCAAAGAAGTCACCCACCTCACTCATGTGCACGCAGCCTTTATAGTAAATAACCCTTCACTATTAGAATGGAATCGATTTCTTTCGAATTGGACTAGAGGATCGCGAGATTGGTGTTGTTGGAACCGAAGTCGAGGTCTGCAAGTTGTGCTCCATCATAAGCTGTGCAGTGCGATAAAATTCGTGGTTCGTATCGAACAGTGCCGCCGCAAAGAACTGACTGAATAGGCGACCCATGTACTGATCCTTGTTGGCCGGCCACCAACCCTCGAGGAACCCAATGTGACCACCGCGAGCCGTTATGAGGATGGCAACGTGCGAGGATTTCTCTGCAGCCTTAATCGGGATGGCATCTAATGGCTGGAACGGATCATCGGCAGCACTCAAACACAGCAGAGGTACCTTAATTTTGTGCAATTTGTTGTGCAGCGTAGCATGTGCGTAGTAGCTATGGACATCATTGTAGCCGAAATGTTTGGACGTGAAGTGCGAATCAAACTCCTTGATGGTTTTACTCTGGAACGGAAATTGCCATTTAATTTTCGAACGGAATTAAACAATCTAACCCATTACCTGCAAAACTTGGTCCATGTCCCAGTCAAATTCATCGTTTCTCAGAATTTCGTACTGTCGGACAGTGCGACATAAGCTCCCAGCTAGATGGCGACCGAGCATACTGTTCAAATATGGCTGTTCAATGCTGTCAGAACCTGCGAATTTACGAATAGAGCATATGAGTGGATGTGCCATAGTTAAGCTATTGTTATGGTGTATCGTAAACATCGAACTCTTGACCTTAGTCTCAACGAAGACGGTTGAAAATATCACGAATGATCTATTTTGTAATTAAAAGATAAAGGATTGGTCAAAAATATTAATGGTTTTCCAATACCATCCAATAATACCATCATCATACTAGAGATAATTCAATACTTCATCATTACCAGAAACACAAGCGAAAATAAAATCCATTTTTCAATGATAAGAATTCCGCAACACTGAAGTCAAAAACCTGCTCGGCCCTGAACGAAACCGTACACACGCAATCCATCAATTTACGTCATCGGCTTCTCCGCCATCAGCCCAAAAATTAAAGCTACTGATACATACCACCGAACGGTACACCGTTAGGGTGTGTTGATCTTCCATCTAGAAATGGATGATTAGCAAACACGTGATTTCCGAAGTCTAGGGCCCAGCCAAGCGTTATCTAAGACAATTTAAAGCTTCTGCCTCCGTGAGAAGAATAAGATTGCTTCTTCCATGTCTTCCTATTCGATGTATGCGACGAACCAATTTCGGCCTCCTTCCTCCACTTACCTTTGTTCACATCCCATGGTACGGAGATAATTTTCGCTGCCGTCAGAGCGGCCTTGGCTTCGTCACAGTAGTTGGCTAAGTAGTTACCAAGGATCAATCCACCCATGGAAATTCCCGTGGCACCAATTTTAATATGAGGATTCACTTTCTTCACATGGCGGACAACCTCGGACAGATCCTCGCTATTCGATGCGCAGTATAATCGAGGGGTTTTCAGTTCTATTCCTCCCAATCCTCGGTTGTTGAATACAACCGTCCTGATGCCGCTGCGATTAGCTGCCGTTACCAAACACTTGATGTATTCGGCTTGCGATTCACCTGGATTCAAAGGACGACATAATGTACATATGATATATGACGTACGCCTTATGATAAGAAATTCAGACCTGTTAATCCCGGCAGAATAATAATCAAAGGTGAGTCACTATCACAGTTTGCTTCCATCCAATCCAGTGCCACAACACCGCCATCTTTGAGGGTGAGAACTTCTCGTCGATACTCAACGTTTGGCATTATGTTGGAGCGAATGATACTGGCAAAGACTGTCTGAGCCCGACTTTCAACACACCAGAATGTAGGCCAAAACTTCATCTCCAAGATAGGTATATTTTTACGAAGGTACTTTTTGAACGGGCCATTCGATACGGCTAGAATGGGTCGCTGGAAGTTGCAAAAAAAAGAAGATATTGCATTCATCATTACACAAGTGCAAAAATAGATAGCATCATCACATGACTAATCTCAGTAACATTACTTATACTCACCTTAACAACCTCTATGAGATAGTAAATCAAATATCCAAAGAGAAATATGGCGAATATGTGCCATCGCGGCAAGTTGGTTAGGTACGCGTACAGTTCCATAATCATCCTGGTAGCTTAGTTATGTGCCCGTTATAAATCAGCGCAAATGTTTTCCTAAATCACCGCCGAGTTGATTCTATATGCAGACTAATTTTTGAAATCCGGCCCCCTGTCCGGCTGTCCGGCAATGGTGTCTACACTCACGCGAGATTAGCTGTGGATTAGAACAAAATCATCGTTTAGTTAGTAGCACACAGATGTCATGGCTGACATGCATTTGGATAGGTTTAGTCACATTTTTATAATCGGGAATGGGCCAAAACACAAAACACCGGTTGTTCATTTTAAGTTGATTTTAATCAAACTAGGCATTACACAGAAAGTGTTCTTCATTCCTCATTAGGATACTTCTACGTCTCATTTGGGGCTCTCCGTCTGCCCTCAATTTGGTGTTCTTTGAGCACTTCCACAGTTGTTGACTGGCAATTTATAAAGCCTGTGCTATTTAGGTCTCTGGCATGTACAACCGGTACAACCCAACTAGCCATTTGAGGCTGATATACAACTATTATAAAATTCGAAAGCCTTATATTTGCCTTATATTGCTAAAATGGCAATGGGATTGAACATCAGACCCACTTGGACGAGAAGTAGTTCCATTTACCACTCGGCGCCGACCGACTAGCAAACCTCAAATCAGCCATCGGGAGCGATAAAGGCTTTACCACAGACAAACAGACATAACACTCACAATTCGTTCATCGAACATGCATTTAACAGACAATTTAAAAGTATAGTAGTTGGTAGCACCGCCACCTGTGGCGCTCATAGTCGATTCCCTTGCGTTTGACGTTTACACACTACCGCCATCTGTTCTGCGTAGTGCCCACCACAGTGTACTCAACAGATGGCGGTAATGTTTTAGTGACGATGTTTTACAGTGAGAAATATTCAATGTGTTATGTCTGTTTGTCTGTGGCTTTACGATATTATCCCGAATTCAATAACCCCCAATTCCCTTACCTCAAATTCCATTACTCCGAATGATCCATTGAAATATAAAATTTCAAATAACTGATATTAAATATTGAATTTAAACTTTTAATATTAAATTTCGAATTTGAATAGTTAATTTTGTCTTGATAAATCCGGAGAACTTCGAGATTAGGGCGTAATTGCTTTTGTAAAAAACTAACAACACAAACAGGTAGAGGAATGATTCCTCTATCATTAAATCAATGTAAATTACATTCACTGAAAAATATTAACAAGTTCTGCCCGATCTGGTTCTTCATGCATAAGAGATACAGATTTGAGCTGTAGCATTTTAGGGTGACCAGCCATATAGAACAATACGCAACAAGGGGAAGGGGACCAATGTTGGTGCTCCATGAAACATAAACAAACGTTAAACGCGTCGTTTGTCAAGTTCTGTAGAGAACACAATAAGGCATTTATTATCCGCTGCAATGCAAACGCTCACCATACCTTATGGGGAAGCACGGACATCAACAATCGTAGAGAATGCCTATTGAAGTTTCTATCGCCGAATAATATAGATATTTCCAACGGTGGAAATCTCCCAACGTTTACCAACGCAATCAGAGAAGAATTTATGGGGTTGACCCTAGGGTGCAACACATCTAAGTCTCAATTTAAGATGGTCGGAAAACTAACGTTAGAGAATCAATCTACGAAAATGCATTTCTCAGCTCTTACAACTAAATCTATCTACCTACTCACATCGTTCTCCAACTTTTTCCAGGAAATCTTCAAAATATTCATCAATCTTCTAGCTGTCTACTAAGCGAGCACGCATCTCACAGCAGCAAAGCGAAATTTTTCCTGCATCTTAGATAGAGTCCCCCCCCCCCCTTGGTTTGACCTTAGGGAAGTCGAGAAATTTTCCATGCCGAAAAGATCGTCAACCGAACCGAGAATTGAACCATAGAGGTAACTTTAAGACAAGAAGGTCCCAAAGAAACTTGCTCAACTTTTTGGCTCAGCTCTGGTACTCTCTTCGGTCCCAAGCTAATCGATGCACCTCTCTAAACATAGAAAAATCCACGAACCCCTCATTTTATCTGTCAAACTTTCATAGCGCATCAAAACAAACATAGTGTAGTACTAGAATTTCGACTAAAATGGGGTACGTTAATCGATTTGCTTGGGACCAACAGGCTAGTCAAGAAGTGAGCCAATTTAAAATCGTTAGTTTCCACGATTTCCCTAGTGACAACATCTCGCTTGTGATAATGAACTTTTGGGGTATTTCCAATACTGCATATGATGTGATAAAACCATAGAGGTAACTCTAAGACAAGAAGGTCCCGAAATAACGTGCTCAACTTTTTGGCTCAGCTCTGGTACTCTCTTCGGTCCCAAGCTAATCGATTCACCCCTCGAAACATAGGAAAATCCACTAACCCCTCATTTTATCTGTCAAACTTTCATGGCGAATCAAAACAAACATTGCGTAGTACTAGAATTTCGACTAGAATGGGGAACGTTAATCGTTTGCTTGGGACCAATAGGCTAGTCAAGTAATGGACCAATTTAAAATCGTTAGTTTCGTATTGATTGTTGATAAAACCACGGACTTTGATAATGAAAAATGTGAAAACAACATCAAGTCAGTTTGTCCCATCAAGCACAGAAATTGCATATCAGTCCCATCCTTAAATTCAATCGTTTAGAGGTGAAGCTACAGTTTTGTTTTTCGCGTTTCCATATTTTCGCTGATAAACATAACGGTGTCCGGTCATTTGGCCGAATGCCGTTTGGCCGTATGCCGTTTGACCAAATGGGTCGACTTTCCTTAAGTTAAGTCAACTCCAAACAGTATAAAAAAAATCAGTCATCTATGTCTTAACCGTTTTGAAGTCATCCTTCGAAGTTCAAATCACAGACAAACAGACGTAATTTTTTAAATATGTTTTCCTTAAAAAAGTCGTCACGAAGTTGACTGATCTCGCGAGCTATTCGCGGAAAAAGCTTGCTTAACAATGTTGCATACAAGTGTGATTTTCCGTCTAATCGTCTTGGTGTCTTCGATACACTTATAATTATGATGCTCCGAAGACACCAAAACGATTTGACGGAAACGTGTACATTTATCACACTTTTTGTATTTTTTGGGGCAGTCCAGTTTCAGTGTACGACGATTGAGAAGAAAGAGTACGTCTGTTTTTCTGTGTTCAAACGATGATTCCATGCAGTAGCTGTATTATGGCCCAAAGTACAAAGAACACTTATATGGACTGACGAAGCGTTTCTATTTTTTTTGTCTCAACAGATAATATTTGTTCATGTGGCTTGAGAAGTTTTTTCAAGACTTAGGTTTTTTGCCGGGATTGGCACTTATTTTTACTAAGATCTCAGCAAAATTTATGTTTGTTAGCCTCGGCAAAATTCCCGTTTGTTAACTGAATTAAATTTTCCACTGAGATCCAGAAAAAATAGATTGCCGAACTGCTCGGTGGTGCCCATCTCGGCAAAAAATCTAAGTGTGAGATCTCAAATTTAAATTGATTTGAAATTTAATATAATAGATATATAAATTAACTAACAAACAATCATCCTATATTGATACTAATGGAACGGGCTTGAACGATCGACTGTATCGTACACCCAACCGAGAAATGTAAGATTGTATTACAGATTTGCATGAGAATTTGCAATGTTTCGCGACATGAACAGACTCTGTAATGTGGCCGCCGGAATTTTTTTTTAATTTTTATGTTAGCAAATTTTTTGAACAAAGTTTGATTCCCCAAATGCACTGCATCTCGAAAATCATCTCATGAAGGTTTTTACCAAAACATGCTTTCTGAAAAAAAAAACTTGCTTGTACGCTGCAGTCCATTGCAAGAAAAGCCACTACATTTGTTGTATGAAACATATGCAGAGGATGTAATAAATCCAACCTTACCTTGGGTGTAAGAGAAACTTGTTTTGCGTGTATCTTATCTGGAACGGCAACGCAGTCTTCAAGGACTAAACCACAGCCGTTCAATATAAGGTTGATATTAATTATGCGGGATAATTGCAATTGTTTTAAAAGTGGCTTTCCGTTGCTCTTCAGAAACCTCGAGCGAAACATGCAACAACCTTTTCAAAAAAAGACCTAAAATCGATTTCTTTCAATTGTTTCAGGGCTGTTGTTTCAAAAATAACATGAAAAGTATCACTAATTAATGTTTGCCGCTAGGTATGGTACTGTTAGTTGGTCTTCTGTGAGACAATCTTTTTCGATTCAGTAATCATCTCCAGGTTACATGTGATTAACACTTATGTCGATGGTAAACAGTAAAACAATAATCCTTCTATACGCGCACACACACACACACACACACACACACACACACACACACACACACACACACACACACACACACACACACACACACACACACACACACACACACACACACACACACACACACACACACACACACACACACACACACACACACACACACACACACACACACACACACACACACACACACACTCACACACACACACACACACACACACACACACACACACATACACACACACACACACACACACACACACACACACACACACACACACACACACACACACACACACACACACACACACACACACACACACACACACACACACACACCAACAATAACAATGAGCGCGCAAGTGACAACAAAATATTAGGCCAATGCCAAAGATTCCCACAGCAAAGTGAGCTATTTATGACCTCATTGAATGCCAAACCTCAACACTTCTCGATGCTTCTTCTTCTACGATCATTGCCAAAAAGCTATAGCTGATTATCTCACGTTTCTTGATGCACACGCAGGGCATATTACACTTGAGAAGGAAGTATGTGATTTTATTTTAAGTCATTAAATCAATAACATCACAAAAATTGTATTATCACTTTACAAACGCAATTATGACGCTTCCTATCGATAAGAAAAACTCACTTTTCAAAGGGTTCAGATGATTCAAGCCCGACATATTGTTATGCCTCGCGATCCATACACTACTACGGTGGGTTACGTCGTCTCTCAAATAGCACTCCGTTTGCCGTATTTTTGCTTCCCGACCTCGACTTCGCGAGCTCATGAATCAGACTGAGACTCGATTGGCTGCGATTTCTATACAGAAAGAACACCGGCTCAGTAAATGTGGTAGATTACCACCTACCTATATCAGCCAGCGAGCGTG